ATATTCATGCAGATTATCTTTACTTTGTTCTCACCATTAAGATCTCTTATCAGGAAGCAGCCTTTTTTCTTAGACAACGTGATAGTGAAATTATCACATTATAGAGATCACAAAAAAATCTAAATAAATTTAAAGTCGGCTACGCGAATAATACACGAAATATAGACAATTGTCCCCTGCAAATTTGACATTTAAGGCAGTGCACAAGAATTCTCCCATTCCAGGAAGTGCGGTATGAGGACATGCATCAAAAACAAAACAAGGTAGGATGAAAAAACACCAGCGACATACAAACTGTAAATCCTTTGTTTTGTAATTAAACATAGGATTGCATGCCCAACTAAATGCAGTCTTGCTACCTATCCGTCATTTATGAAGATTTCATCCAGAATCAGGATTTTGAAGTCTAATAATACTAAAATTTAGTAAAGAAAAAACTATTAAGGCGGTTTATGCATTCCCATGAACTGAAGAGGATTTAATACAATTATCTCAATCTCTGTTGATCCCTTTCTCTAACAGTAGACAAAGAATTAGGTAACATGACTGATTAACATACTTTAAACATCGAAGCATTTGTTACTAGCCTTCAAAAAGTGAAAATGGTGATAGATATACACTATATTAGATTAAAGAGTACAGACACATTATACAATAACAATGCAACATTAAAAGGTATGAGCTACCATCCATGAACGAGCAAATCTTTTCCAGTACAGATTACTGATCCCAACCAGACGGTCTCCGCCTTTCTCTAGGCCTTTCTCTGGAACTGCAAACGAAACAAGAACAGAAAAAATCCAAGTTCTAACACCAAAATTAAAGATTGGAAGCACACAAATCTCTTAAATCTCTCTTCTTTTTTTTTTTCTTGATACATGTTTAAGCAAGCAAATATTCCACTCAAGTCAAAATACTCAAAATTGAGAATTTTGAGTTCAGGAAAGTTACCTTTCTGAGAGCTTTTGGTTCGCATTATCTCTGGAATTCTGAGTGGCAATGTTCGACATAGAAGCAGTACCAGTTGAACTGGTTGTCTTGGCAGTATGAACGTCTCCACCTATAGTGCCACCGGATACAAAGCCCGACAAAGCCATTCTTTTATTGGCATGCATGCCTGGATTATGGTTCACAACCTGATTTTGGGAATTTGATGATGCAGCAACAAAATTGTTTTTAAATTGTGCCATCATCCCTGTCCTCAGCGAATTAACTGCGGCTGAACGACTTGGAGGATTTGATGCTGCATTGGATTCTGGACTATACCCAATACCCAATCCGAAATTCACGCCTCGCACACCTCGGTTACCACCTCCCCCCCTCCCTTTAGCTCTTTTCCCACCTGCAAATAATATTGAACATCCAATGAGCAACATATGTTTTCAAAACACTCCAATAGAGAGAAAATATGAATGATAAATGAAGATGAAACATTAATGCAAGTTTATTTCCTTTTAGGTGACTCCTCAGCATAATGGAAGACCTCCTCAAAAAATATTATAGAGGAGAACATTGATCCACCAGCTCATTCAAAGGCACTCTCAATTATCTGAACACAACAATTATCAGGAACATAATGAGCATGCCACTTGCAAAATCGAGATCCTTACCTCCTTTCCGTGCATCACGTTTGGATCTGAACCTCCCATCCTAATGATTTACAGGGTAAAAGTCACTAGATCATGAAACATAAAAACAACAAAAGCAAAAATTCCACAATTATATAAATTGTCATAGAGAATGTTTACAAGTGCAATTGTATATGTTTCAAATCGTGGAACACCACAGTATTAAATATCAGGCCAAAAAGGCCCTTCTAAGAATAGAGTTCCACTATGAGACTGTCACTACCTTCATAATCTATTGTTTCCATTTACATACGAGGTATTATCTGGAGAATCATGGTGAACAGCTTTGGCATACAACTGATTAGTAATTCATCCTGCTATGGTCGAATGATAATGGACTGGTTAAAAGATATACACAAGTATTTGTAGTTACATTAGTTCTCTGATGACTTGAGAGTTAGAATAATTGTTAATTCTAATAAATGACCATTTGGTAGACTCGGATGCATGGAAGCCGAAGGAAGAAAGCCAAGAGCAATTAATAAAATGCAAGTGTTTTACTTCTTTAGTCAAACAACATCAATATGTCTCCCTTTAGCTCCAGATTTTAGTCACCCCAAGTCATCCAAAGATTTAACAATATATGAGTGCAATACATTCTATCCAATTTCAAAAACAGTGGAAAAAATGAAATATATAGCATGCCCATGTGTATTTACAGGAACTTGAAAATACCTTCATGGCAAGATCCATTAGCTCCACAGATACGTTTTGACCAGCAGCAATCAAACTGTTGACTAATTCACCTGCAAACCGTGCCTCCTTCTGTGTTATGAGAGTGTATGCAGTTCCGTCTTTGTCACCAGCACGACCCGTCCTCCCAATTCGATGGACATGCATGTCCATATCTTTCGCTATATCAAAATTGACCACAGATTTAATTGATTTGATGTCAAGACCACGTGCAGCAACATCAGTTGCAATGAGAACATGGTATATTCCAGATTTAAATTTTTGCAATATCTCCATTCGAGAAGCCTGATCTTTGTCACCATGCAGAGCCGCAACTCTGAAGCCCCTCTGTGAAAGCTGTGATTCTACTTCATCCACTGTGTTCTTTTTAGAAGCAAAAACCAGAACATCACCTTCATCTATCAACACAGGAAGCTTTTCAAGGAGCCAAGGAATTTTTTCGGCATCTGATTGAATTACTTGAACAACTTGTGTGATATCCTCATTGGCCATACCAACCTCTCCCACAGCAATCCTTACAGGATCAGTCAGTATCTCCCTAGCAAGTTTTTCAACTTTGTATGGCATAGTTGCTGAGAAGAGTAAGGTTTGTCGATCTGGCCTTATTTGACCAACAATAGACCTAATTTGTGGCTCAAAACCAAGATCAAACATTCGATCAGCCTCATCAAGTACTAAGTAGGTAGTTCTCAACATCGTCAATGCCTTCATTTTTATCATGTCTATCAGCCTCCCTGGGGTAGCAACAACTATCTCGCATCCTGCCTTCAGCTCCTTGAACTGATCAAGTTTAGACATTCCACCATAAACTGCAGAGACACGAATCCCATCTGACTTTGCAAATTTCTTAGCTTCTAAATATATCTGATGAGCTAGTTCCCTAGTAGGTGCACATACTACTCCAATGGGGCCTTCTTCTTTCCCAAGCTCAGGTTGATCCATAATATGGACAATCATGGGAAGCACGAAGGATGCAGTCTTTCCTGAACCAGTTTTGGCTATTCCAATGACGTCTCTTCCTGAAAGCACAATGGGTAAAGCTTGGCACTGTATTGGTGTGGGCTTTTCATATGCTTGTTTGGCTATGGCTTTCATTAGCTCCGCAGAGAAACCACAGTCTTGAAAAGTCTTAACAGGTCTTGGAACATCAAAACCCGACACACGAATGGCCAAGCTCTTCTTGTACTCAGTAACATCTTGCTCACTCATACCTAGATAATGAAAAGGAATCAGTTAGCAGCCAACCAATGCAAATAGAAGTGAGAAGTCCCAAAAAGATGACAAAAATGGACATGGCAACGGAAACAAGGACCAGAACTCTTGTTTGACTGCACTAAAAAGGGCATCAGTGTGTGAGACATTGAATCAAGACACTACAACCAGGCGTGCTGCATTTTCATTCACCCCAAAGGCAATTTGATTGTTTTAGAACAACTAGAAAATTACAAAAATGAAACAATTCAGTTCGAACGACAAAGGGCAATTAATCAAGTCCGACAATGGGTTTTCCAACAAACCTTACAAGGAGCTTTAAGAACTCTGAATAGTTGTTTATTTTAGAAAAAATAATAAAAAGAAAAAGAACTGGAAAATAGATTCACTTATCTTCGCTTCAATAATACCTCTTCCGCGGGAAACAAATCAATCAATACTAAAACTAAAGGATTCCCACTTTTTTGGGGAAAAAAAAAAGGGAATCCGTTGAATGTTTAGGTGAACATTTTCTTTCCTTCTACTAGATTTTGCAGTAGGAATTTTTTTTCCCTTCAACTAGAAAATGCTGCACATGCCCTGTTAGAAAGTGGTATAATTCCTGAAGATTTTTAAGCAGGTTCTACTTTTTATCGTAGACAGAACATTGTAGATATACACAGTTTCCCCACATTTAAAGTCTCTGAAAGTATGCTTAATTACTAATCTTAACCGAGTAGATTGATTCTATGAGTGTGTTTATTGTCGTGTTTGCTTGTAATTATAACTTTGTATCATCAACAGTTCAACACCACCTATGTTATATAAGAAACAGGTTACTAAACAGCAACCACAGGTAGGTAAAACCAATTCTGCTCCTGCATTATCCTGTAATCTCCTGACCCTCTCTCGGCAAATGGGTGTTAACTCTATGAGTACACAAGTATAGCAAAATCACCAACTAGAAGAAGTGCAGGAAAAAAAATACTAGGTCACAGTTTAATCACCAGAAATGGAGGGCTTTTCCTCGTAGAAGTCCTTGTTAAAGGGCTCGTAATCAATCAAGCTATGATCGAGAGCCAGAATAGGCTCAATCTTCTTCTTATCCAAAACAATCGGATTATCATCAGAATCGTATTCAAGCATTCCAGCATCCACCGCCTTAGCCGCAGCGTACACCTCCTCATCAGAATTATACCCCGCGTGAAGAGCATCTGCTGCCAATTGTAAACCTACATCCTTCTTAGCTCTCAAAAAACTCTCCATCGGATCCTCCTCCTCTTCATCGTCTTTATACTTGTCCAACTTCTCCTTTGCCATCGGTAGCGGAGCCGCCTTCATCTCCTCATGTATACCCTCCATAAACGCATCCAGAGGATCAATCTCATCATCAGCACCGGTACCATTAACGGCATCTTTTTCAAGGTCGTCGGCGTAATCAATGTTGTCAAGGTCAGTGTCTTCGTAATTGTCGTGGCTGCCACCAGAGGAGCGAGACGACGGAGGAACGTAAAGCCGTTGAGGAGCTGAGGATCGCTCGAAGTTGTACTTAGCTTGAGGATTCATTCCGAACCCTTCGAAACCGAATTTTCGTTTCGACATTTTCTTTGTTCCAATCGAATTGGATTGAAAACATGACAACTGGGGATTCAAAATGATTTCTTCATGAACCTTGCGAATAATTTGTGGGTATATCTTCTAAGGTGCAGTATTTAGGGCTTATGGCCAATACTTCGACAATTTTTAATGGGTCAATTTTTTGGAAAATTGGGGTAGTTTACATAAATACTCTATATTTTGGGATGCTTTTGAAAATCATTGTAAACATGGACTAAAACATAAATAATACAATTTCACCCCAATTTAATCGTAAGAAATACGGTGAAACGGTCGACTGAAAAAATGGTGAGGCTCCAAACTACCGAAATCTTCCAAGGTCCAAATCAAGCAAAATCAAAGTCTTAAGAAGAAATTTTGCTAAAATCGATTGTACCAATTACCTTTCCTTCCCCAAATCTCGAACTAATTAACCAAAAAATACAGGTTTTTATGTTTCGGATTTTTTACTCAATTAGTTCATATTATGTTCAATTTTGATGTTGTCAAGGTTCCTTTGTTCTAATATATATGAAATTTCATCTTTACATTAATAATTTTTAATTATTATATATTAAAATTCAATTTTTTATGAATTTAACTGAGTTAGTACATATGAAAAATCAAATTTAAATCAAGTCAAATGATTCATACAAGTTGTTTTTGAAACATAAAAACGTGAAAAGTGACATTCTATGTCGCTTGTATTTGAAAAGGGCGCAGGCTATTTCATACGAATTCATTTGGAACAATTAAATAGGTGTATATAAGTGTTTTTGCAATTTAAAGATGAATATGAATTCAAATGTTGTTTTACATTAAATAGTGACATGACGTAAGGAACATGATCGAGTTAATATGTATGAAAAATCAATTTTGGATCAATTCGAGGTATTTGTGAAATTGAGATTGAGAAAAGTGATATTTTATGTCACTTTTTTCTAAAAATGTCGATGTCTATCTCATTTGAATGATTGAAGATCAATTAAATAAATGCATACGTGTGTGATTGTGAAATTTTAAATATGAATATGAATTGAAATATTGTTTTACATTAAACAATAACATGCTGTAACATTTTATCCGTATTTTGCATGTGAATTAAGATGTTAAATCTTGAAAGTAACATTCTTTGTTACATTTTTTCTAATAAGGTCAGTCTACATCATTTCAATTATTTAGAGTTAACTAAAGAGATGCTATTTGTGAAATTTAAATATGAATATAAATTCAAATATTGCTTTACATTAAAAAGTATTATGACGTAACAATTTTTTTTTTTTTTTGTATTTTTCTGCTCATGAGTTAGTTTGATGAAAATTAAAAGTGACATACTCTATCATTTAAAAATAATAATAATAAATCTTACACTATATTTATTTATTCATTTTTTTCTTTTTTTGCAGACATGTATAAAATTAACGTCTTCAATTATTATCGAGGCAAATGAGAACAAATGATTGAAATTGTTATTCCAGTAGAATGCATAAACAATCACATCTGTTAAAACGCAAATGTCACTTTTTGTTACCTTTTTTTATCTACATAAAAAAGGGACAAATATTTAAAAAAGTGATAAAAATTTTAAAAAGTGACAAGATCTCAATAAAGTAAATAAATAAATTTGAACATAATTAATACGAAAAATGGTAGGTCTACTCAATTTTAAGGGTATTAATCTAATATTTCATTTTTTAAAGGTGGCCAGCCTAATTTCCCCAAATTTTTATTTTTTATTTTTTTGCCAGTGTCCCAAATCGTGGCAAGTCTCAGTATCAGGACAATTTTGTCCCAACGTAAAAGTTGTAGATCCTATAAAATATATAAATAAAGACTAAAATTATACAGGACTTATGAATAAAACTATAGTTGACCAACTTATAATCTTTAAAAAGCTACGTTAATTATATTCTAAAATAGGTGACAATCCAAACACGCCATTTTTATTGTATTGAAACGGCACGAGCAAGTGATTTGGGTCACTTTTATAAGGGCAAGATAGACCAAATATAATAATTTTAACTGTAAATAAATAAATGAATAGATAAAATAAAAATTGGTTTCATCTTCTTTACGTTGAATATTTTTTGTCTGTGAGTAAATTTATTTATATTCGCGAAGTTTGAAATAATTAATTTATTTTCGATAAATCCATTTATATTAATATTAGCTTATATTTCTCGTTGATCGTTTTGATATTATAAATCGAGTGATTAAGTTGTTAACATGGAAATATTCGATTTATAATTCGATCTAAAATGTATATTGCACGGTCGGTATTAACATCATTTTTATTTCTACGAAATTATCTCAATTTTATTAAAATTCATATTTAATTTTTGTAATTAAATTGATAGTACATTTTGGATGTATTGGACTATAGCACGTGGAGTTTAATTTGTGACATTGACTAAACAAATTTAAATTTATTTGATTGTCATATGTAGAACCTTAATCTTAAACGAGTAATGAGGTTCGATTATTAACTTGAAGTTTTTTTTAGCTATACACAGATGAGACAAAATTGTTAATCAATACGTGGATGCATTACGAATTAAAGTGAATAATGAGGAACATATATCTATAATATGAAATCCATCACTATTCAATAAGCGTGATCATGATCGCAAGAAAGTACTAACGGACAATTAATATATGAGCTCGAAATTCGACATGAATTGTTAAATTAAAATTATAAGAATATTTGAAAAATGACATTTTGATTATTTTAACTTTATTTCGAATATTTGAAATGTTTGATGGTGTAATGCATTAAAACGGTAATTCAAGGAATATAATTATTGATTATTATGCAATTTCAATAATTTTAATCGGATTATGAGTGAAATCTCGCTCTTCTAGTGAGATGCAATGTGATTACTAAATTATTTTGATCGGATCAAGATTAATTTATTGAAATTTAGTTTAATTGTGTCCAATCACGTCCCCTCAGTGACTTCAAACTAAGAATTGAGTTATAATTTATCAAATATTGCAATGCATATAATTAGCTGAAATTCTTCATAAAAAACGGTTTTTCATTTCATTAGAAAGGAGTACAAAAGTCATCTTTTTGGTTCATTGTTCTTGTGTTTTGGAGTTATACAAGTATACGAAAGTAGTCGGTGTATATTAGGAGTTGATTGTCATCATCTGTAGGCATCTTTGCGGGGGCAAAATCGTCTTAAGGACAAAGAGTTTAACCATTGCCTCGACTTTGGATCCATTTTTTTGGTGTTAGTTTGTCCATTCTCATTGGCTTTTAACTTTTATTTCTTCGGTGTTTATTATTCAATTCCTTGCCATTATCCTGTCCAGTTTTTGATAAGGTTGACAAGTTTTGTTAAAGAATTCTAAATCCATTTCACAAACAAATAGGCTCTAAACTAAAATCTAGCCAGAAGCACAAATTTGGTCGACGGGAGAGTTTGAAGAGCTCAAGAAAACAAGATGCTATTGCACACGACTTTAATCATAATTAATCCGATTTAATTCCCTATACCTAATTCTAACGACACACATTCTGCAAACAAATATTATTTAGGAGCGTTGGACAAAATTTTGCGATTGTCAAAACTATTTTCATAGCTATCATTGTCTCCAATAGTGTTACGTACATAATATGCATTCCATTTTACTTATAAAATGATCTTTACACCATATCAAGAGAATTTTAGGTCTAAATTTTGTCCATGCTGAACAACGATTAAATTATAATTTATGTTGATCAAACATACATTATCCATATATTTTATAGAATTCACAACTATTATCCACTTATTTTTCTCACGTGCCATAGAATCCACGACGTATAACCATTTACCATCACTAGAAAACATGAAGTTAAGTGTTAACAACCTTGAGCTCCAACCAGTGGTGGACTCAACACAAAAGTTCAGCACGAACGGACCGAATGTTGATCGTTGACAATCGACAATCAACGATCGTAAAAGCGATATCGTTTATTAATATTTATTAAATAATATTCAAAATTATTCAAAACAAAAAGTCCAAAACTAAAATAAAAAAGGGGCCAACTCTCTTAGCCCAAAACAAAAGGGCTAAAACTATAAAAAAGTCCAAACTTTTTTGAATACCCAACTCTCTCAACCCAAAACAAAATGACCCAAATTTAAAAAAGGGGAAAAAAGCCCAAACTAATCTTCTTCGTCTATCAATACCGACTACTAAGTTCACCAATGAATTTGAAATTATTTCTCCAGGCAAGCCATCAAGAGGAGCCAATAGGTGCCAACCTACTTTTTCCCAACGGAAAGAGGCAACATGACAGCACCAACTTAAAGTTGGCTCACAAAGTGCATCTGAGAGCTCTACTTCAGAAGCAACAGTTCAGAAAATTGTCGACGATGAAAAAGAAGCGCCACTCAATGCACAGCAGTATTGAAGACTCCGACGGATCCAACACGAACGACCACGTCCCTCTCCGGGTGCTGGGCCCACGCTTGGCTCCAATGAAGTAATTTATGTTATTTGCTCCTATAGAGCAACTCGCCTTTAAAACACATTAATTTTGTATTTATTTATTTTTTTCTCGTTAATCGCCGCTTGCATTGAAGGTCGGAATGTATTTTCATTTTCCCAAAGAATTTCTTGTGGTCTAGAAAGATGTGCCAATAAAAGAATTTATTTTTACAAAATCATAAATAGTGACAGTTGACATTATTCAGATGCATATATTGATAGCATGTCAATGTCAAAAGAGTGATGCTACATGTACACCTCATGTATTACACAATCCTTTACACCCCCTCATATGAAGGGAGGCTCACGATTATTTTATTATGTATGGACCCCCCTTCATGTGAGGGGGGTGTAAAAGATTGTGTAAAAAATTGTGTATATACAGTTTTATTCATGCCAAAAATAGCACACTAAAATAAAATTTAAAAAAAAAGTCGTACTTTTAAAATTGGACGATAATACTGTTCATAATATTGTTGGGCAAACTCTATCGGGTTTGAATCATAACTGTCATTTGGTTATTAGAATACTAACACACCAACTATTGATTTTGGTCAACAGTTTGGTAGGCTACTTTAATACCGAAAATTTCCAACTACATTAAAATAATTATAAATTCACTTTTTCCACCTAAAACTTGAATGGTATATTTTCAAGACTCTACCAAATCATAATACGCAAATTGCTTCACCTCTCTCCCATATCTTCCGACTCTCAATAGCCTATAGTACAAGAGTATTTGACATGCCAAAATTGTTTACGATTAATTTTTTTGAATTTCGTTCAATCATATTTTGGCTTTTAGAACACTGATATATACTTAGCACATGTTCAAATTAATTAAGGATTGAATTGACAAGTAACTATATCAAAAGGCAATGTGACTCGACGCGTCACTAGTACTATATATTTTCACCACGTTCCGCTAGTCCCTTCAAGTTCTATATTACAATAATGAACTTAGAATTCTCAAATCAAAGATAAACTGTTATTATACATACTATTTGTTAGAAACATTTATGGATGCAAATGCCCCGATTTGGCTCTGCCTACCTCGGCCTGTCCCCATCCCATCCCACTTCGTTTCCAAATGTAAGAAGGTTCACTCTTCTAGAAAAATGAAAATTTTATAATTTTTTGGGTGCAAAAAATTATGTTGCACAAAAATAAAATTTGAGTTTATTTTGTTGCCTGAATTAGAGCATGTTTGACTAAGATTAAAATTGAAAAATTATTCATTATTGTTGACTTTTATTAGACGAGTGAGACCCAATAACGGCTATATTTTCAATTTTAATCTTAGTCAAAACATGCTCTTACAAAAAATTTCATCATGGACAGAGACAACGAATGAAATTAAAACAAAAATATATAACTCGAATAGTCAAATTAAAATATATCAAAATTAGTTGACAGTTATGAAAATGAACGTGTAAGTTGAGTGACGTTATGTGAAAATTCTCAAATTACGGTTCACTGTCGGTATCTCAAAAGTAAATCTGGACCGGCGCGCCTATCTAATTATCCACGTCACTCTCTCTTCCATCAGACACTTGAACGATTGACGTCGACCGTCTTTTTTTCACCGTCAAACTTCATTTTTCCGTCTACTGCGCACGTTAGACAAATATTACAGTTTTTAAGTGAAAAGTAAATCTCCTTACACCACACTCCTCCCCAAAACGAGCAAAAATAAAAACAAACATATAATTAAAAGCTAGAGAGTACTGATAACTGAGTGAAGTGAACGAAATCTCCCACCAGAGAGTCATATTTCTCTCTCTAGCATTTAATTTATTTCTTGTTTCGAAGCTGGGAGTATGAGAAATATGCATCGAAATTATCGGAATTTGATGAATTTTCGGGGAATTTCTTCTCGGTTATTGGATTCTTATTCAGTGTTTGATTCTTGCTGGTTTTGCTCATAGTGCGGGTTCAATCTTTCTCGTGTTTTTTTACAGAAATCTCGCTGTCGGTTTGGTTCTTAATTTTCCTCAGATCTGAAAGGGCTCATATTTGTCGGCGTCAGTGATGTTGTGCTTCGATAGATTGCCATTCTTCTTTAGCGGCTCTGGTGGGTTTATTTGTCTTAATTTTGAATATATGAATTCGTTATTTGCTTTTAATACTCGTGTATTATGATGTGAGCGTGGATCTATGTAATGTGATTATTTGCTTTAAGCTTTTAATTTTGAAGTATACTTGATTCTAATGTTTATTAGTTGCTTGAGTTTGAGTTCTTCGATTCAGTTCAAAGTCGAGCTTACTTTCAAGTTTTCCCCTTTTGTACTTTATATAAATTTCCACCACTAATTTCTGCTGTTAGTTTCTCACTGTTCTTCAAAAAATAGTTCTGTATATGGACGATTTTTGAGTTCAAATTCGGTTACTGGAGACTGGAGCTATATAATCCTAAATTTTATGTTACTGATGCATAAGTTACTGTACGATTGTGGAAAAATAAGTTGTTGTAAGTTAATTGTTGAAGGTACTTTTTGCAAAAAGTAAGGGATTTTTGTTTCAACTCACAGGGTATAGATAAACAATAATGTGGAGCTGTGAGCAATGCAAAGCATAGAAGATTGAATTTTACATGATTCAATTTCCTATTTTATTACTAAAAGGAGATGGAGCTCAAGCATATTTGCACCTTAATATCCCCTTCTCAGATTTGTTGCAGCAATTTAGAAAGCCACATAATAGTGTAATTATTTGGACAAAGAAATAGAACCATTTTTAATTTGTTCTTGATTTCAAGTGAGAGTTTATATTCTTATCTTGTAACTTATTCCTTCCCCTATTATAGTTTGCGAACTCATTTAACATAGTTTACAATATAAAATCAGGGTTGGTGCAAGAGATCTGCTGGTCAATCTTGAAGGGGTTGCTTGTTTTATGTTATGTGTTATCCACCACCGATGCTTACTTACTGAATAAACCATTGGAAGCACAAGTTCTGTCTCCAGCCACAGTGCCTTTGACAGCTCGTGCTATGCAGGAGCTGCCCCAACCTGCAGAGCTGCCTTCATTTCATAAAGCTCGCCAGAAACTTCTTGCTCCTCACGGTGCACCTGGCTCTGTACCAGCATCAGCACAGCCTCCTAATTATGGTCCTTTTATAACATCTTCCCCCCCTTCAAGCTCACTATTGTCGAAACCATCAATGAAGAAGAGTGGATCAGTGCCTCTCAGAACCAGCCTTCCACCTCCACATTTGTCAGAGATTGCCCCAACTCAACCTTCGCCTACTACTCTACCTGCCGCTTTAGCTCAGCCGCCACTATCTCCTACCATCTCCAGTAAGCTTAGATTCTCTTTAATCCATTTCCTAGAGGCAAGAACTGTTAACTTTATTTTACCTACTGAAAAGTGAATTATCCTTTTTATATTTTCACAATCAAGTAGAAATAATTCTTGTTATCTCATAATATAATTTATCACCCCCTCTCGTTTTGCTTTGCCAGTATGTTAATATGGGTTTATATTTTCCATCTTAGCAGACTGTTGTGGACCAGACATGGTGCTCAAACGAGAAAGCCAGGGCTGCCACTGTGTATATCCAATAAAGCTTGACATTCTTCTTGTGAATGTCTCATCTAACCCAAATTGGAATCGTTTTCTAGAACAATTTGCTTCCCGACTAGATTTGCAGGTTTCACAGATTGAGCTTATTAATTTTTATATAGTTGGCATATCGGGACTTAATATATCGATGGACATTACTCCACTTAAAGGGATTAGCTTTTCTGCCAGTGAAGCTGCTAGAATTAACTCTTCACTGTCTATGCATAAGGTTCATCTAGATCCTGCTTTAGTGGGTGACTACCAGCTTCTCAACATAACCTGGTTTAAGCCCCCAGTTTCATCTCAAGGTGCCTTTATGTCTCATAGTGTATTACATATTTACATGATATGCTAATTTTTCCTACAATTGACTCATGATTCGTTATTCCTCAATTGCCAAAACTTGACATTTAATTTAACCGGAAAATAACTTGAGCATTTAAAGTTTGAGATGGGAAGCTTAATCTTTTGTCTTCTTTATGTAAATATATTAAACAGCAAGATGAAGCGAAGCAAAACTAATGGTGAATTTGGGGTGTCTTAAATAATATTAGATTAAACTGATGATTTGACGAAGAACAAATCATCAATTAGACTGCTGTAAAAAGTTGGGTTTTGGTTCAAATTTTTAGTAGTTTGTTCACTTGATTTTACGTATGACCCCCACTTTCTCTCCAAAAGGAAAGGGGGGAAAACAGGAAAAGGTGAAATAATTTTTTGGTCTGCTTTACAGCTCCTGTTTCTTCTAAGCCTCCAGTGGGAACACCTCCACACCTGCCCTCAACACCTGCAGCTGTTGCCACGTCAGACAAAGTGAAACGCCCAAGTTTAGTTCTTATAATTGGAATTGGAGCCGGTATTCTAATTATTGCTATCATTTCCGTGCTTATAATTTATTTGTGCACATCTCATCAAGGGAGGAAACGAGAACCTTTTAAAGAAGCTGGTATGTAATTTTACCTTTTAAAGAAGCTGGTATATAATATTGTCTGATTATGTTATCGTATACTTGCTCCTTATCTTTGGATCTCACCCGGTTTTCTATAATTCTTGAATCCTTTAATAGCGAAGGTGAGGACTGTGGATGCTGTTCCAGCAGGAGGATCTCTTCACCATCCTACCAGCACACGGTTTCTTACTTATGAAGAACTAAAAGAAGCTACAAATAACTTTGAACCTGCTAGCATACTTGGAGAAGGTGGCTTCGGAAGAGTTTTCAAGGGTGTATTAACTGATGGGACAGCTGTAGCCATAAAGAGGCTTACTAGTGGTGGTCAACAAGGGGATAAAGAATTTTTGGTTGAGGTTGAGATGCTTAGCAGGCTGCATCACCGTAACCTAGTGAAACTTGTTGGTTACTATACTAATCGTGATTCCTCCCAGAACCTACTATGTTATGAGCTTGTTCCAAATGGAAGTTTGGAGGCTTGGCTACATGGTAATTGTTCATGACATGTTAATTCCTAGTCTGTGCTAAGATCCACATATCACAACTGACGCGATGTAACAGGTGATTTTAACTTCCCTATTCTGCTGCAGGTCCCTTGGGTCTTAACTGCCCGTTGGATTGGGACACGAGAATGAAAATTGCTCTTGATGCTGCAAGAGGACTTGCATACTTGCATGAGGACTCACAACCTTGTGTTATTCACAGAGATTTCAAGTCATCCAATATTTTGCTTGAGAACAATTTCCATGCTAAGGTTTCTGATTTTGGCCTTGCAAAGCTGGCTCCTGAAGGCAGGGCAAATTTCCTGTCTACTCGTGTCATGGGAACTTTTGGGTTAGTTTCTCCCTGAAAGTTATCGTTACACCAAGATAGTATATGCATTATGCACTGAATTGCATTCTGTTTGTTTCACAGGTATGTAGCCCCAGAGTATGCAATGACTGGGCACCTTTTGGTGAAAAGTGATGTCTATAGCTATGGAGTGGTTCTTCTCGAATTGTTGACCGGGAGAAAACCTGTAGATATGTCGCAACCATCAGGACAAGAGAACCTGGTTACATGGGTTAGTTATATTCCCAAATCTGTACTCCATCTTTAATCTTTTACATTTCACGTTTTCATATGTCAATACAAATTTCACGTTTTCATATGTTAGTACAAATTTTAATATTTTTTCCGGCCACATGTTGATCTTTTAACATCTGAGGAATCAATTACTGAATGATAAAAATTCCATTCACTGGTTATAAAGCAATTCTTCAAGGGGCTTCATTTGTTTTCAGGCAAGGCCAATACTTAGAGATAAGGATCGATTGGAGGAACTTGTTGATCCTAGGCTTGACAATAAGTACCCAAAGGAAGATTTTATACGGGTTTGCACAATTGCAGCAGCTTGTGTTGCCCTAGAGGCAAGCCAAAGGCCTACTATTGGAGAAGTGGTGCAGTCACTTAAAATGGTGCAGCGTGCAATGGAGTATCATGATTCTGCTATAACTACCCATCCTGGACCCAATCTTAGGCAGTCATCCACCACATTTGAGTCTGATGGAACATCATCCATTTTTTCTTCTGGTCCTTACTCGGGTTATAGTGCTTTTGATAATGATAACATTGTTAGGAGGGCTGTATTATCTGAAGATCTTCATGAAGGACGATAAGTATTTTCCTGATGGATCGAATGCTTCGGAGTGTCCAATCCATCAGATGGTTGATAGGATTTGAATTTCTATAACTCTATTTGGTGAGATCTGAGTATTGATCTTCCCTTCGTCCCTTGTAGAGAACTTTTGGTCAGTTTTCCCCATATGGTGGTCATTCTCTATTCCTCGGGATGAAACTTTGTATATATGTTTTGATCCCTCTTTTTAATTGGACTACCTGTTATTTTCTCACTTTTTTATGATTTGCTGTATATACTTTCTTCATGCCTTGTTTTATTTGAATTCTAACATTTGTTGCATGTTATAACGCACCCCTCTTAGTGCTTTGCATTGTCAAAGCAAGATTTCTTGGATTAACCTACTTTTCTTTCAAGTTATATATTAAAGCCCTATTTGACAACCATTAAAACAAGATTTTTTTTTTTTTTTTCAAATTCATTTTCAACTACACATTCTCACAATAAAATATTTTGTACATAAACTTGAAATTTTTCTTACTTTTTAACTACACATTCTCCCAAAAATCATTATTCTAGAACTTAATTTTTCCAAAAAACTAATTTTAATGGTTGTCAAATAGGGGCTTAATTGCATGGTGTTCTTGATAGCTTCTACCTTGAGAAAATTATCCAACTTTTTAATGCGTTGTCTATACGATAATAGCATTTATTTCAACGAGTGACAGTCTCATATTTCTTACCTGGAATGCAATGTGTAATGTGCATTGTATTCTTTAGAGTGTCGACCATGAAATTGATTAAATTGTGATCCGTACCTCCCACTGAACTAGTAGTGAAGGCTTCAAAACCCGTCTTCCCTTAGTGATTGACATGGTGATTAGGCATGTTGAGATGAAAGAGTGGGAAATAGTGGCCTTAAAACTATGAGAAAGTTGAAGACTATAGGCTAAGAGGACTAGAGTAAAGCTAGATGCTAATAGGACGTGAACAAAGTTGGATGCTATTTAGAGAGAGAAGAGGCAAGAATTAGACCGCGAGTGTCATTCCTTAATTTTCCAAAAAATAAAACACACAAAAAAAAAAAAAAAGTAAAGTTCTATATAGAAGAAAACTTACCATCACCATCATATAACATCATACTTGTACGCTTTGTTTGACTAAAAGAGTACGAAATGACTATCTTTGGATTGTATAATTATGAACTCTGTGGAATTTTCATATTTGAAAGTTTTATCTTTTCATAAACGAATTACAATGATTTGGAGGTGAGTTACAATTCATATTTTTCCTTTATAATATTTCCTACGGATTAAAATAATTTTATTGACAACTAGAAGTCTTTATAGATTAAAATTCTTTGAAGAATCCATCGTTTCATCTTTTTGGTTTAATGAATTCAATCGATTGGCTTTTGAAAATCAACTTCGAGTCATGCTAGTTGTACCATCGATATTGAAACCACTCACATGGGGGTCCGCTTTTGTTTTTTAAACATGAGGACCTCCCGCACATGTGAGAGGTTGTCAACCTCGATTGTACAAATAGAATTTTCCAAAAACTAACTAGTCGTTTAAAGATTGACTTATTTTTAATAGAGAATTTAAGCTTTTTTATTTTTGAATTTTTTTTTTTAAATTTTCATTTTGGAAAGAATTGCAAGTCTCAAATCCCACAAATTGTGGGGCCTACACATACATCTTTGTTGAAAATATTGGTTGACGACTAAACACTTCGCATCATCGCATTCATCTATTTTAAAAATTAGTTTTTATATCAATAGTCAAAATGAATCAGCGCACGAAGAACTCACGCGCTGAGGGACCCATAGTTGCTAAAATAAACCGAGGCGTAGGATAACATTAACCTACGCATGTAGTTGCAGCATAAGAAGTGGAGGGAAACTAAAAGAGAAGAGTAACGGAGGGGGGGAGAGAGAGGCGAGTTAACTCGTCATGACCTGACTGAGTCAGGAGACCGAGTACCACACAAAGGCAAAAAATCCTCCCACGAAAGCACACATTGTCACACACAAACAGGTGTGTGAAAAAAAAGATGGAGAAGAAAGAAATTGAGAGTCTTCTTTACTACTACTACTATAGTTACCAGCCCCCTCATATCAATACCTATAACCCTAACACAATTTTTTTTTCCCTCTTTCTTCTTCTCTCTCTGTATCTACGTATACACATCAATATCATACACCATACCCATATTTTCTCTGCCTCAATTACATTGTCTGTTTCTCTCTCGCTCGTTTTCAATTGTATCATGTCTTCTCTCTGTCGCGTTCTTTTTCATCTGCAAGGTAAATCTCTGTCTTTTGTTTGTGTTTTGCGATTTTACGTGTAATTGAATGGTTTTGTATGTTGGTTTGTTGATTTGGGTTTAATTCAGTATGTGAATTCTGTCTTTCTGTGACACATTGTTGTTGTGGGATGGGATGGGGTGGGCTGAGGAAAGGGCTTGATTGTGTTGGATGAATGCGCTGGTGCATGTGATTTTGGGTGCTTACGTTAGATTTTTGTACTGTGATGCCTTGGGCTGCTGGAATGTGGAATTTGAATGTGGCTGTTTATATAAGATCAGGTCCAATTGTTCAATAAGATTTCTTTATTTGTTATTTTTTTTTAAATTTTATTATCAAGTGATGTCACTGATTAACTTTATTTTATTGTATTGGTCTAAGGGATTTTGATAATTTACTTTTCTTTGTTGCAATGCCTAGTGTTGGTGTATTGCCTTGTTTCATTGGGGTAATTTTAATTCCTTAATTGTTTTGGGATAGGGATTACTGATTTTTATGTTAATTTATTGATGTTGTTGCGCCTTTCTGTGCATTTTTTGGCTTAATATGTACACAGTACAATATGGATGTGAACTTATGATTTCTCTATGTCCCTTTGCGTCAGTTGTATTGCTTTTGATAATGTTATTGGTTTGTAAATTTCTTTACGGATTGTATGTATTCATTTTACCCTTTGAACTCGTAGATGAGGTTTATTTTTATTTGTTGTCATTCTATTGTCGATTGGGTTGTAAGAGTAGAAGTTTCTGAGGGCTTATATGGTCTTTGCCTGAAGTTTCGATTTTTTCGATGCAGACTCAACGTAGCATGAGGCTCTACGTGGCTCGTGTACCATTTCTGTCCTTTGGCATTTAATAGGCACAAGTGCTACAGTAGAAATCAGAATTGAGAATCTTTCAAGACAATGAATCAATTTAGGGCTCCTCAATGTGGGGGTATTGGAGTCGCTACTAGAAAAAGGAGGAGCCAGATTTTACACCGATCTATACCTGAGTCACAGCCACTCTCTGATAGATCTCCCATGCCATCAACACGACTTGCAGATGAAATGAGTAAAGTGTCAAGTGATGAGAATGTCGGAGATGCTAATTCTAGAGTGAAAATATTCAATCTTAATCAGTGCATATCGAGGGGCTTTCCTGCGAGTGGATCTGATGGTGGACCGAATGTGTTATTCAGTTATGGTGTAATGGGGGATGCAACGGCAAATGAGAACAAGCCGAAAAAAGTTACTTTGAAGGTTGGCGGTGTAACGCACATGATTCAAACCAAATCCAGTTCCAACGGTGCATCAAGCGTTGGATCTTTGGCTAAGATCGATCAATCATCAAACATTGGTCGAGCGAGGCAGAATCTCGTTACACAGGTTTGTACTCTTGTTTCTTGAATTATAGATTAGGGAATTTTCTTTGCCTGCGCAAATATTTTGGACACAATTCATTTGGTTATTGTTTCACCACTATTTTAGTCTTTGATTTCCTTTATATGTTTAAAGCATGTTTGGCTAAGCTTAAAACAGTTACTTATTTTGCCAAACATGACTTTCAAACTTACTTTTTAGTCTAAAGAAACTTAATTTTCTAGAAAGTAACTCGTAATAACTTTCTAGAAAGTAATTTTAGGCACCACTGAACACACCATGCCTTGGTCGGAAGAATAAGCCACATTAACTCAGAAGGGCTTGCTAGATGACAATCTACTCTTATGGAGAAACTTAATTTTGTAAGAGCGTGATATATGTTAAATTTGAGTTTAAAAAATGAAAGTGAAGTTATATAATCCAACCACATCAAGAATATTCCTTCAAGAAATTAAAAATTTCCAGCTTTAAGTTGAAGTATATTCTAATCCCGATGGAAAAGCCAAGTTTTATTATTGAAATCTTCTGACTCTTGGCATTTTCTTGAGCTGCCTTACGGTATGAAAAATTTGATGATGCAAAGCACTTGATTAGATATATTTTGGTTTTAATGATACGAGACCACTCTGCACAAGGAATGATAGATTCATCTAGCAGGGGAATAAATTAAGAAATCTGTTTGTATGGAAAATAATCTCCAGCATTCATGAATGTTGAATGTCATTTAACTCATTTGGCTATTTGTTACCATACAATCTTTCCATTTTCTTTTTATTTCAGGAGAATTCATATCATGATCATTCTACATCTCTAGAAAAGAAAAGTAGTTTGCAAGGGATCCCATGGAAGGATTTCTCCCGAGTTGGCTTTAATCTTGGGAAGGAGGACATCAATAGGATGCCTGCAAAGGATGCCTTTGAGAAGCAAGGGGAGAAGTTGGTTCCAGTTCGTAAGAGTAAGAGGGCTAATAAGAGACGTGTTTTTGATGAGGAATTCAACGAGGATGATGATGCTGAGATTCGGTACCTCAAGAAACTGAAGAATGCAAAGGTTGGAGGATATAAAGATTTGGAGACTGAATCAACAAAATACCAACACAGTCTTCTGAGGGGCTCTAGGAAATCTAATTCTGATAGAGCAGTGGAGGACAGTGATTATGAGGAGGATGAACTGTTGTCTGATGGTGAGCCTGAGGGTAAGAAGAAGAAAAAACAGATGGATCTCTCAGATATACAAATTGAAAGCAAGAGAGAGATGTCTCTCACAACTCGCCAAAGAGCCCTTTTATCCAGCAAGGATGCCTCCTCATCTGGCGTGAGTCAAATTGAATTCCCGGATGGTTTACCACCTCCACCTCAAAGTGAGTGTGATG